TTTTATATAGATGACTAATTGTGTCAGGAATTAAAAATCATGCTGTGCAATATAAAAGGAAGCATTTAGAAAAGGAAACATTTAAAAGGTTTCCAATCCATTTCAAACTGAAATGATCAATTCACCTCTAGATTTTAAACAATGGGGCAGTTTATAAAAAGAAAAAGAAAAGATGATTTTATTGAACTAACATATTTAATTACTGTAGCTGTGTATCTTTAAAAAACATACATAAAACTAAGGTGCTAATGAGGTTTTTTTTTGTTGTTGTTGTTGGCTTTCCATCTTTATTCTTCAGGTCACTTAAAGTTTGCAGCATTCTACACCATTTCTACTCAAACGTCAAATGACTTAAGATAAGGACATAATGTTTTTTTATACAGAAAAACAAGTGAAAAACAGACAAATACATGTTGGAGTTAAAAAGGAAGGTTTTGTGGGGCTTCTTTAAGTTTGTGCTTTTTATTTGGAGTCTGCTCAGACAAGTAATTAAAAAGCTGCATTCCTGAGCTCACAGTTGCTCCTGTTAAAGTTGACTTTAGAGCAGAGCAGAGGCCATGGGATGGACTTTCTGCTTCAGACCCTCCCCTTCTGCTGTTGACACCAGGAGACAAAAAACCTCGTAAATCCAACGTTTCCATGTTAACTTTGAAAAGTCAACTTCAGCTTAGCCAATTCTTACTTTCATAGAGTTAGGATAAACCCAGCAGTTATCACTTTTAAGCTCGCTATGATCAAACAACTAATCTCCACCAGAACAGACCGGTYACCGTTAGTGAACAAGCATGGTCAGAGGGCCTTATGCTGCTGCATATGTTACAGAAACTGTCTGAGCCTCGACACCCAGTAAACATCACAGAGCTCACACTGGATGTGACTCACACACAGTCAGTTTCACAGCATTAGCAAAACGATGTCTCTGTTTAGAAGCAGCAGGCAAGCTAAGATGTGACCAGTTTCTATCTGAGAGCACAAAACTCCAGCTTCCTCCCTGCATGCCTGACTCCACTGAAACCCCAAAGAGTTGCTGTCTTGTGAGCAATTGCATGTCTAAATGAGCTGTGCCATAATCAGCTGTTCACATGTCAGTCGTCACAAAATCAACCCATCGCTCTAAAAGAGAGTGAATGTGTCATGAAGTGATGCTGACTGTACCTCCATTTGTGCAGGAAAAAGCCAGGACACTGGTCTCCACAGGCGACACAGGGCTGTCCTCTCTGCTGCTCGTCTGCAGGGCTCAGCTTGGAATAAAGAGATAAAGATGATGATGATGATGATGATGATGATGATGATGATGGTGATGATGATGATGATGATGATGATGATGAGGGGTTGACACTTCACATCTGACAACACTGAGTCTACAATGGTTACTATCTTTAAAATAAGATCCAACTCAAATCTAAAGCATCTAAAAAAAACCTGGCCATGTGTGTTAAATATGTTTAAAATACAAACTGTGCAGGTAAAGAAAGAAACATCATCCTGGCTGAGCTGCTGTTGACTCAGATCTCCATGGAAACAGCCGCAACAAATAACACACCAACTACCTCTGAATAAAAAAATAATAATAAGGAAATAAATAAAGAAAACCGCGTGCGTCAAATCTCTGGATGGAAGCTGAATGAAGCGTAAATAATAATAAAAATAAAAATAAAACAGCCTTTATAAAGTTATTTGCCTACTCACCGACTTGCTGAAGTCTCTGCTCTTAAAGCTGCGACTCAACATGACCAACTGCAGGCAGAGCTGCTGAGGAACAACTCTGAGATCTGTGCGTAAAACAAAAAGAACTTCAAGTGTTTCCGGCTCCGGTTCTGTCCGAACGAGCGCTGTCAATGAAAGGAGCTTCTGTTCCCGGTTCAGCAGCGCCTCCCCGGAATGAGGCTTTACGCACTTCTTCAGAAAAAGTAAAAAATCAAATAAAAATAAAAAGATCGGAGCCACCTTGAACAGATAAACGCGCGTCCTTCAGTTTTATATTAGACCGGTAAAAGTCACAGAATTAAAACAATAAGAATAAAATTAAAAATGATGACATCATCAAACTAATGTCACGGTTCTCATTAATAAATAATCAATGTGTTCCTGAGTGTTGTTTTAACATTAAAAATTTAACATACACTCATCTACTTATTCATTTGTGGAAATGGCAGACAAATCTTATTTTTATATTATTTCTCTTTATTACATTTTTTATGTTTGCTTTTCAACATATTACTTGATTTTTTTTAAATTCTTTTAGGGTTTTAAAATGTAATGTTTGTTTTCCAGGCAGTTTCTGTGTTTACATTTTGTGTTTATAGTTTATTAGTTCCTATGTTGGCTACATGTCACGCAGTTTTGTTGAACATTTAAAATCTGTAATATTATCTAAGATAAGAGATTTACTTGCAAGTAAAAAACGAACTTTAGCCTTTTTCTCGTTCAGATGCATGTTAAACAGAATGTAATAATAAATCTGCCTCTGGAGTGTAGTTTTAAGTTTCAGATTTTAAAATAAATAAATACATACAATCCATATAATAATATAAACAAGTTTTATTATTTGTCTTTCAGGTACTAAAAGTTTGCTTGCATAGAAAGACGTGCAAACTTGATTGCACGCACAAAGCTGGATCGGGTCAAATAAGGAGAACAACCAAGTCAATTCATGTAGAGTGTTTGTTTTAATGAAGATGCAGAATAGTAAATGATAATTGTTATGCACAAAGGGGAGTACATGCAACTCGTTTAGCACTGCAATATGATTGATCACATCTGAAACTGATTGTTGTCGCAGTTTTTGAKCTTATTTGGACAGTTATCTGCTCCACCTTAAAACATCATACAGCTTTGAAAGTTTTATAAGTTTCCTTATTTTCCTATATTTACTTGCTATAAAGAGAAAAACGTTTAGTGTGCATGCACATCTTTGAAAAGAATTAAACACTAAACTTTGAGTGTATTWATTTAAGTGTCGTGTTTGTGTAAACTTAATAAAATAAAAACTTGCCCACTTTAATATAAGTAAAGAAAACATGAATTATGAATGTTTGGGAAACAACATCTCTGTCAAGGTTAAGGCCAGAAAGAGATACAAGGAGCTACTAGTTGCCGACCACTGTCCTTTGGAAAAAACTCTTTGCAACACTGGGTTTTCTTGCATCTAGATCATTTGCGACTGGCTGCATCCGTGGTGGCAGCCAGTACACACAATCCTCATTTCAACATCATTTTACACCTGTTATCATTTGTGCAGTCTTATAGATCACCCGCACTACGCCCACTAACAGCACAAACAGTGTTTGAGTTTGAGCTTTGGTGACCCTGTCACATCAAACTGAGAATTAAGTGCCAAAGTGGCTTGTGGAGAAATAGGCAGCTGTAGCGCATTGATTAAAATGGTTGCAATATTTGCATTTTGTCAAAATATAATKAATAAAAAACTTACATTTCTTAAATTTTTCTGGCTATCTAAGTTTTTTTTCTTTCCAGGTGGGCAATCACAATATCCATGTTTGATGTTTCCTTTGTAAAATGACAAATTTTCTCATTGGAATAACTAACAAAAAAAAAGAATAAAATATTAATGTATCATTGTGATTAACAAGACAAATCAAGGCATCTWGAAACCGCTCATGATATATCAGGATGATCCAGGTATCAAAATGTAGCTTTAAAAGCAGGGATCTGCAAAGGAGCTGAGGTCATTTTGATCAAATCTGACTGAGGATCTTAACTCAGCCCCAGTGAGTGATGTCATRGTCTGAGTGTTTTAGTTTATTTCTGTTGATCTCAAACTTTATTTAGTTCTCCTTGTGAAACTGTTTTGTTTCGATCCTCGTTCCCTTGTGCTTTTGGTCTTGATATCATTTCTCATATTGCCCTCAGCTCAAGAACGTAACTTTAGGTCTACAAGTGTGTGTGTGTGTGTGTGTGTGTGTGTGTGTGTGCTTTCTGCCTATTTGTCTATTGAATCATTTACTTTTGTAAAAGGATTCAGGATATTTTGGGGTTAAAATGTTGTAAATTGTAAATTTGGAAATCAGGTCAAAGTTACCTATAGACAACTAGAGAAGTTGTAGCTACTTAACCAGTTAATTTCTATTGTGTTGTAGAGCAAATTATGTCATTTTAAGGTGGGGTTATATTGACTGGATCAAACTATTGTTGGGATCATAACCCTCCCTAACACCCCCACAGAATACGCCCATGCCTCAGCTTCTTGTTAGTTTTCCAGTCCTCCTTGCCAACCTCACCTGTCAGCACTCAGCCTCCGGCTCAGTTGCTGTCACTTCTCACTTGTCCCTCTGTATATTTAATGTCACGTCTTCACTTCCTTGTCGGATCATAGTACGGCTCTGCAGTCTTGGTCATCTCCCTTGAGTGTTTCTGTTTTTGTAGTTTTTTGCCGCCAAGCTGGCCTTTGTTATTGTTTCAATTAAACCTTTTATTTACCGAGCCTGCCTGCATTCTGGGTCCGAGCCCACCACGACCGTGCAAGTGAACTCACATTAAAGCTTTTTTAAGCATTACAGTATGTGCTGGATTCTTTTCCTGATGCGAACTTGGCTTAAAACTGCAGGGTCAGGATTACAAGACAGCACCTGCTGGACAACAGGATATTTCACTGTTATTAACACAGACAGAACTTGATTAGGTCATGTGTGAAGCTGGCAGTGATGGCGCAGAGTGTGTGATCATAACGACGCAGGTGCTTTACAGAGCAAGAATTTATGATCCAAACATTAACCAGACTATCAGCTTTTCATGAATGTTTTAGCGCTGGCGTTGCAGTGAGGACAAACTGCTGTGAAAATGATTTATTAGTGTGAAGAGCGGGCCGACAAGCGCGGTGCACATCAGGCCGTTTTATTACACTCCAATCACTGTCCTCTCTGCTCTCAGACATAAATCATGCTTTTAAAGTGGCTGAAACAAATTCGCCTCCCATACAGATCTGATGAAAAACAATATATATATATAAATAAATAAACAAGTTCCTGAAGCAGAAAACATACTGGCAGAYGGTTTATTTTATGGTAATCATTCATGGCTGAGGGTTTTTTTTTGTACATTCACAACAAAAAAGGTCGGAAAATAAAATAAAGCATACATATTTAGATAAAGACATTTTACATAGTTAAATGCAATAATACATGTTTAGTTACCTGGTAAACACATGGCATGTGTGAACAATAAGATAAATACAATTAAATAAAATAATCCCTTCATTATGACACCTGAGAACCTGACTGAATTGAAATCTGACATTCACAGTCAGAAGTGCATTTGTCAGCTGTGACCTTCAGTAAGACACAATTTATTTTACAGCTTTTTTTTCTTGTTTTTAATTTGTAAAGTTGCATATTAAGGCTGCAGTGAATTCCCTTTGGCTGAATAATGCACAATACCACCTAAAGGGAAAGTTCAAATCCTTTCAAGTGGGGTGGAAATTGCATCCGGTTGGAATTAAACTCTGTTTCTCCAATTAGATGTCATTCACATCCACGACAGGTAAGATATTGATTGTTCACAACTTTTTCACAAAATCTCAAAACGATTTGAACTATCCCTTTAAAGCACTAACATAGCACCATTAGAACAACTAATATAGACATTGCTGCGCATAATGTATACATCATACCTAAACTAAAACAATGTTAAGAATCATTGCTTTTTTTATATTTATCTTCTGGACTTTGTGAAATCTCAAAAGATCATCTCCTAATAATGCATAACAATGGATAGAGACACACAAACACAAAATATAAAGTACCCTGATTTCTTCACAAAAACAGCAAATAAAAAAGCTATAAACAGTAGCATGAGAGTGAATGGACAGACTCATTTAAACAATAAAACAAGAACAGAACGTGAGGTACAGGAAGCACCGGTTTACAAGCAGCATGAGGACAGACTGTCGTCTCCACAAGCCCTGGAGCTGCTGTGGAACTTGATTTGGCATGAGGTAAAGTGGCCCCAGATAAGATATCCTGACTGTTCAGTAAAAGCTRAAGACTARTAACTCTTTGGGTCCCTGCACACAGAKGAATTAAGCCCCCTAAAGCCTGGCAGATTAAACTCTATACCGCAGTTTGCTCCTTCAAGTGGATATGTGTCCAAGGCAGAAGACGTAATTATATATGGCTGAACATCCTTCACATTTGAGAACTGTACACCGTTACACCTCATTTCTTACATTAACCTGGCTTTATTTAGTCCCCCTCATGCTCACATTCAGGAAATGTCAAACTGCAACAACTGGCCTTTTTGTGCGGTGCGTTTGGTACACCTGACCCAGTTCACCACCTAAACAGCCCGCTTTCCTTTGCTCTGTTAGATGACCACCTCCACCTGTAGRTAACAGCTGGAATAATCCAGACAGAGCAGCCTGCTGGTTTCTGACACTTGCTTTTTTTTTTTTTTTTACCGGCTACAAACACAATGTGCCAAAGAAAAAAAAGAGGAATTGTACTTTAAAGGCAGGAAGGCAGATTTGAAGCTTATGATAAAGTGCTGCAGCTCAGTCAGAGAAAGCAAAGTTGGACACGACCTCCAAAGGGTCCGTGTTTAACATTAAGGCCTGTAGAAATGTGGCTGCTTGAACACTTCAACAAACAATAAAACACACATATGGCTTTGACAAAAACACTGCAGAGTAACCTTACACTTAATTAACATTAGGATGGTATTTAAAAAACAGAATGCAGTTTTGAACAGCTGAATGGTTTAGTGCTCACTTTTGACAGAAACACCTTTAAAAATATTTTTTTACAATACAGAACTAAATGACAAGTTTATAATAAATAAAAAGATTTACTGGGTTATTTACATTACTTACATAAATTTACAGTATTCACATGTAGAGTTAAAGAGGTGATGAAGAGGATGGGTTTGGGCTTGACGTTGCTTGTAGCACCATGGAGGGATGTTGTGATGGAAWCAGCACCTGAATCATTAAAAGCTGATTTAATCCAACATAAATAATATAATATAAATYCCATTATGTACCAATAACCTCACTTATACCACATTGTTTCTCACCTGTTTGAAGGCCGAGCATTTATTCCACTGTTACAGGCAGACTGCTGTCAGAGGATGGGGAGCATTTCCCACAGTAGCCTCCACAGATTCCTGACACTCTGCTGCCATCCTGTGGAAGCACAAGGAATTACATGAACTCCTGTAAAAGTGATGACAGGAGTTTAAAAGTCTTTTTTAAGAAAAACATTTGAAAACCACAATAAAAGCACCAACTACCAGGTTTTTATTTTTTTCTTTACCCACGTGTTTCAGAAGTATTTTTAGCAGGGAAGTTTCCATTTATGTGAGTAGGCCTACATATTTTGTAAAAAGCAAAACTTAGAGGAAAGTACCACATGCAAAACATAAAAAATAATGACAATAAATCAAACAGAAGTAAAATAAATTCCCATCTTAAAAATGTTAAAACAATTTTCTAAAGTGACTTTAGATTTTTTCTTTGAGGCGTGGTTCTGTGGATATGTTGTGACCAGTAAATATCTTGCCTGATGTGGATAGCTCACTGAATAACATCAGTTCAGAGAAACAGTTTTATTTTGATGAGACTGACGAGCTAACAGCTTATATGAGTAAGACTGAGAGCACAAAGGACTGCTGCCACCTTTAAACAACTAAGATCTCAAACACTTTAGAGAGGTTTYAATTCAAATTAAAAATACTTTATTAATCCCAACAATTATAGTAACAGTTAGTTACATATATTGTTATGGTGAATAAAAAAGATACTGTAACAGCAGCTGCAGCAGCACTTCCTGCAGGGGTAATTAAAACTGATGATACTGTAAAGATTCATGATCTGCYTCAAATCTTTYGACATGGGCGTCATTTTATTACAGCAGCCCTTTGGTTTTGATTTTGCTCAAACTAACTGTTAGTAGATCAACTCAGTTACAATTAAACACTGTTTATTTTCCAATTTAGCTTTTTAAGCTACATCTACAACAGGTAAGATATTACGTGTTCATGTTCTTTCCAAATGATCTTACTTATAATGTTTTTAATTGGTTTTTGTTTGAAATCTGAAGACTCTCAGGAGCTCATCACACAATCTGAGCAGGGTAATACCAGCCAGTTACCCACTAATGCTTCACTTGCAAGCATCTTACATAAAACCAATATTTAGAGTAAAAAAAATCCCTATCCCACAAAAGTAAAGTATAACGTAAGTATTTATTAGCTCTCCACTGAAGTGCTGTCTCCATCAGCTGTCACAAGCAGATTTTAGTTAAACTGACTGAAGAGTCCAAAGTGGGTCAGCAGAGTTTAAACATCAGACCGTGAACACTACTGGCTCTGCCTTCTGCTCAAAAAAAAAAAAAAAAAAATCACTCCAAAGCCTGAGCTCCATTTCAGAAGTGAAGGGGTTAGTGCAAAGAAATGTGTCTCTAAGTACATCAACCCTGCTGAGGCTGACTCACATGGTGTTTTAAAACCCACAGGATCTTAAGAAGAGGAAGAAATGATGGAGGACAAGGCATATTTGTACATCTCTTCATTTCTCGACGTCTCAGACCACGTCTGTGAGTCGTTTCTTGGACATAGCTGACAGGCGTGTCTGAAGAAGTACCTGTGATTTTTGCACATTGGCCACAGCGTAGTTGCCCTGAGAGATCCACGCGRTGTCCTCCGCCACCTTCAAACCTGTTCCTGATAAGTTGATCCTGAACCGGCCCTAAAGGGAGAGCCAGGAGAGAAGGAAGAAAGGGCTGTGAGCTGTAACCCTGGATATATTTCAAACATCACTGAAGTCRGCTATTTTAGACAAAAAATAAATAAATAATAAAAAAAGAAAACAACAAAAAAATGTACTTTTGTTTTAGACAAACAAAATGAATGAATGAATATTATGGATATTATTAGCCTGTATAAAAGTGTGCAAACTGAGGTTTGAATTTTTAATTCTTACATTTTTAACTTTTTATAATTTTTTATACTTTGATCTATTACTTTCTTGAAATCATAGAGAGCACCATGGAAAATTTTATGTTCAAGTAACATAATGACCAATAAAGTCTTATGTCATATGAAGGAACGAATGAATGAAGCGTTATTTGTCATCCTCTCAACAAGTACGACAAAATTGCAGAGCCTTTCCCCAGGTGTTTGTACAGGAGTGTGTTGGTGTACAGCATGGCATACGCATGCACATATAATTAAATTAATTACATTTAAATAAAAATGAGACCGGTGTGGTGACGAGATGTGTTCCCTGTAAGAAAAGAAAACTATAAAAAGTAAAGATCTTGTGTTCCCATTCTAGCAGGAGAAACAAGCTGGTGGCTAAATATCAACATCAAGGATTCTTTTAAAAAGAAAAACAAGCTCCCACATTTGTGTTTATTAAACGCTGGGAAAATTTTAATAAAACTCACAGTAAGTTATTCAACAGGCGTACATCTAAATCTGATTAAATTTAGAGGTCAGTTAGCTTCAGCACGGCCACCACCGCTAATCGTCATTAGCAAGMACAAACGACTGTAACTCAGCCACTTATACAGATATTGAGCACAAATTTGTTGTGGCAGTAGCTGAGAGTGGTTCCCAACACATATTTGGAGCATTGACATTTTACTGCATCGCTGTTAAAAACTTTGGTGTGCAAGRCAGTGTGTGACATGCATCCTTTCACTCTCACCTGAGGACAGCTTGCTAAACTGTAGCAGTCTCCAGCTGTTGCAAACGGGACATTCTTGCCTTCACGGGTGATCGCAAACATCCAGTCTGTAGCTAAGTATCAAGAAAAAAAGTCAAGAAATTAGGCACTTTATATTCTACGGTAAAATAAAARGTTCTTTAATGAAATGTGTTACCACAAGACCACTGATGGCTCTAATGAGAGCTTGCATCTGTACCAGTGATGCAGTTTCCTAATGTTTGGAGTTACCCAAACAGGAATGTCAGCAYAATTCAGTTTAAGCGAAGMATTATTAAATCATCTTGAGTCCTGWAGCTGTGTATTTGTYAAACTGAAGTTATCTCGAGCCCATTAACCCCTTTAAAGAGGGCCTTCATTAAAGTAAAGTGGAATAAATAAACACTGGCTGCGGCGTGTGTAAGAACGTGGGCGACTCACTGATAAYGTGCATCCGTCGGAGGTCCAGGCGAACTTTAGAGAAGGTGGTGATGCCAGCAGCTGTGTAGTCTCTCCGACAGTCACAGTCTTCTCTTCCGGAGCCGTTGGCCGGACATTGCGTCGGGTCGTTGAGCCTGGGAAACCAACGCAAGGAAGACGGAACACACCTGAGATCAGCCTCACAGCTTGAAGGAATTTTCTCATTTTAGGAGAAAGCAGCCAGAAGTCAGCTGATTTTCATCTATTCCTTATTTCWTTATTCTTTAATAAAACCTTTGTTTACCTGAAGCCAAAGATCTCTGAGAAATTCTCCTCTTCTCCAGTCGTCAAGGTGATGTACTCCTGCGGAGACTCTGTCTGCATTCCTGCACAATAAACCTGGGAACAGAACAGCAGAGGAGTTTATGTGGAGGGGGGGCGGATAGAAGAGTAAAGAAATGGGAGAAAAGGGAAGGGAAAGAGGTGACAATAGGGACAAAAACAGGGAGATGCACATTTAAAAAAAGGTATTCTAAACCACCAGAAATAAGAATTTGACGTTTGTGTATAGAACTTTATCTGTGCTTTATAAATGTGCTGCATTTGTTTGCAACTTTGTGCACAAGGCYGGAGCACCAAAAGCCTCGTTGTGGACAGTCAAGTAGAGATTAAACTCAAGAACTACAGCAGCCTTTGAGTGTGTTCAAACGCCAAAAGAAAACCTGAAGGGCCTGTTCCACATTACACATATAAATGGTTTACAAACCACGCTTTGTGCGTTTGTGAGATAACAAGATGTTGTGTTACCTTGAGGACTTTTCCTTGAACACTGAGGAAGTGTTCGCTGTCCTGTATGGGACCATTCATGCTTTGGATGTCAAGACAGCTTGACGGCAGGTGGCCTTGGACACACAAAAGAAGCAGAGATAAGAACGTCCTCGGCGGCGGCGTGTTGAACACAGAGCAGGCGCCTCAACCGCTTCAGTGGTTAAATAAACTGTGGCACTTCACTTTGTTTAATCCAAATAAACTTCATTTGAGGAGATAATACGATATGCACAAAACCTTTGAGATTCAACACAAACTTTGACCTTCTACRATGAGCCATATTTAATTTAGACTTTCTGATAAATTTGGAAACATCTTTGTAAAAATATATGTATTCAAATCAACACTTACAGCTTGGATTAGTGCAGACTTTTCTAGTGTTGGGCATTGCATCAGGAGAACATCTGTTACTTTCTTGTCCRTCTGCTGACACACACCACACCGTCCTTTCCATCACTCCATCCCCACAGCTCACTGAGCACTGAGAGGAMGACAACAACAGTTTTAGTCTTCACTGTACAGACTACTAAACTTAGCACAAAAAGTAAGGGTATTTGGATTTGGATGACTATTTCTTAAATGTAACAATGCTTCTTGGCAATAACTCTTATACCGTTAAAAAGTTTGTTAATTTCCCTTTTAAATGGAGMCACATTTGTAAGGGACATGCATTTGAGAGATGAGCAGTAGAGCTGAGTATGTGGGTTGTGCACATGAAAAGATTRCCAAATCTTCTCTGCCTAAGAACTCATTCTACCATTGACTCGTTTGGTGTTTGGTGAACTGGATGTTTAAAGTTTGAAGAAATAAAACATATTGGCAATTTAACAATTTATTCATTTAACAAACAGGAGCCTAAGTAGCATGTGGAAGAACCATACACAGCCACAACAGCCTGGCACCTCTTCCTCATCCCATTCCTCAACCAGCATTTGTTGCAAGTCAACCAACGTGGCTGTGTTGGCTATTCTGGCACAAGCAGTAAAGCTGGAAACGTACTCCCTCCGACACCGATGGGTCAGCGCCCGGTCAYGTGGTTGTTCGGCAGTCGTTTTCGCACAGACCTTTCATAGWCCCTGAGACACCCCGCGCCGAGCTCCGGGGAAACCCCCCCTCCCGCTGCAGCATACGTCACTGCACGGAGTTCTCCCCGCAACAGCCGACAATGCAGAAGAAAAAAAGTCAGACTCGTCACTCACCTGACGTATTTATCCACATCTGTCCTGGTTAAAGCTCCACAGTTTTTATCAGTCAGATTCCTCCGTGCACAACGTCTGTTTTATCTCCATTCATGAGCGGGTCGGGCTTTTTTTCCCCCTTTTTTTACTGAGTGCAGCAGCGCTTTCAGCACAAACAAACAAGCCATGAGTTTTTCACAGTTTGACTATCTTATAAAACTCTGCTTTCTGGTAACAGTCAGCTCTGGGAGCGAGCCGTTCTTTTGCACAAACACGCCCATGAACTTCAGACCAATCACACATTACCGTCACCGCGGGAGGGGGGTCAAAAGTTCTGCAGGCGGGTTGCGCCAAAAGTCTGCTGTCGAACCGACGCTGCGAAGCCCGTTGACATAATTTCCGTCATCAAACTGCGACAACCCATGCTGACGTCGGCAGTTCGGAGGGAGTTTGTTTCCAGCTTTAGCCAGAGCTGATCCCACAAGTGTTCAGTGTGGKTAAGGTCAGGACTGCTGGCAGCCAGTTCCATCCTCTCTACTACCAAATTTGGGAGGTATTCTCTGATAAATCCTCCTCTGTGGGGCAAAGCAATGTCCTCTTAGAGGATATAGTTTAGTCCCAGACTGCGGAGATGTGGAACTGTCACTTGTTGCAGAACTTCAACCTAACCCTGACCCTCGGCAGCACCTGGGGGTACCAGAGCTTAAAACGAGTGTTTAGCAACATCAAAATCAGCTGTTTGACTGAGAAAATTTGTCCGTTTTTCCATGTACACAACCCACATACTCAGCTCTACTGCTCATCCCACACATGCATGTTCCTTACAAATGTGGCACCATGTAAAAGGTAAATTAACAGGCTTTCCAACTGTGAAAGATTTAATACCAAGAAGCATTGTTCCAACAAAGAAATAATCTACCAAACACAAATGTCATTATTTTTTTGCAAATACTTTCCTTTTCTCAAAAGCAGAAAAAGTTTAAAGTAAAAAAAAAAAAAACATTAAAATGTTAATGCATCCTTCTAGCATTCAAATGTTAAAAAGATGTTAAAATGAGACACTTAATAAAAGCCATTTTGGCAGCTTACAGGTCTGAACCTATTAGGGTTTATAAAGTTTAGTATTACAATGATTGTGATATGAGGACTACATTCTGTAGTTGTATAGGGGGTCAATTATTACTTTTTTAAGATTTTCTCTTTTTTTTCTTGAAGAAGGTTTTTATTTTTTTTAACAATGGTTAGTTGGACAGGCCATGTTCTTTACCCAGATTTTCAAGTGAAGCCTTAAAGGGATCCATGATTAGTTGTAACATTAGACTTTATTTAAACAAACATATATTTTAACTGTAAAATAAAGACTGTAAAAATATTGCAGGATGTTCAGTTTTTATCATTTTTAAACTAAAAGTTTAAAAATATATTACACAGGATGGAGGACCTCAGTTTAGCTTGTTAGTTTGTCGTGCTAGCGCCTAGCTAATACAAATAAGGCAATATTTCGTCAACGCTAGCACAAAGGCTAACAGGCTAAGCTGAGGTTCTTCTTCCATGAAGCAGCTCTGTTGTCCTCCATCCATATTTTCAGTTCCAGGCTGAGTCRTTTCTACCTTCTCCTCTCTGTCAACGCTCTCTGGTTTCATTTAAAAGAGTCGATCATCAGATGTTGTCCAAGATTAACCTTCAGGGTGGATATAGCTCGCTAACACCGAGGACCTATCCACATCACAATTTACCCAGAATGCTGTGTGTGTAAATAAAATGGCTCCGTCTGTGTTAAAATATATTTTTAAAAATTTACAAAACTAAACAGCCTGCAGTATTTTTACAGTCTCAAATAAAGTCTAATGTTACAACTAATCACGGATCCCTTCAACGAAGGACGTAAAGCTCAAAGTGATACATTAAAATGTTCAAACAATAAAAGGTAACAGTAACAAGTTTTTGCATACATAAACTTGGAACCCTAAATTATCTTTGTACGTAAACGCACAATTGTATTTCCATTTGGTTGATTATTGTTATTTTTACGCAGCAGAATGTCTACAGCTGATATCCAGATGCATCTCAGTAATCCAGGTAGAAAAACTCAAAAAGAAAAAAATAAGTAGGTCCTCTGGATGGATTCTTCTTTACAGCTGATAAATTACTAGAAAGTATTCAGGGGCAGAGACTCACCGGTCCCCAGATTCCAGCCCTCCACTCCTGTAGCGGTGGACATGGGCCCAGATTGCAGGGCATGTAGCTCTCTGGGGGGGTTCCAGGGCAGTTAGACAGAGACTGGTGGCCGTACTCATAGTTGTCATTCTCCACGTGAACCTCACTGCAGGAGATGAGACGCTGGCGGTAGCCTTGACCACAGCTGACTGAGCACTGGAGGAGAGAATATTTTCATTTTCCRTTCATGAAGTAACAGTATTCAACCCATCAGCACATGCTCGCTCACCTCTGTCCATTCCCCGGTAATCCAGATTAATTCACAGGCATGTGTGTTGCAGCTCTCCATGTCTGGTGGTCTGATCTGGTTCACGCAGTACATTTCATGGACCTCCTGCTGGTTGTAATCCACACAGTGCAATATTCGTGTTCGATGGCCCGATCCGCACGATTTACTGCACTGTTGAAGAGACGAAACTGGAATTCAGACAGGGTTACGCTGACGCAGCCCTTTATCAAATATGCAGCATAACTTGCAGACATGAATGAGCTGTCCTCCATCAGTAAAGGTATCACCAGGAGGAAGAGCTGATGTTTAATTCTTTTACCACACCAGAAAAGTGGCAAAATGTCAAAGAAAATAAATAAATGAATAAATGAGAAAAACATTTATTAGATAAACTGAAGAACCAGGGCTGAGAACAAGTACAAATGCTTGACCACATAAAATGTTTGCCAAAAATCTCTTATGTAAAGTCTAGCAGTAAAGTAATCTTAAACGTTAAGAAACAATAACTTCTTGGTCCAACCAATCTCCCTCTTTAACATAAACCAGACCAGCTACTTGTAACAAGACATTTAGGCAGATTACATGACTGACAGGCTAAACGTGGACACATGTTTGCTAGAAGATAATCAATAATAATAAAAAAAAATATGTAAAAGTGAACAGTTGCAAAGTCCTTCAAACAAAGGTTAAAAATGTTAAATGGGGGGGTCGGGGGTGTTTAAATGATGGTGTTGTTTTCTAAATGTCTTGAAATGGGCCTCTATTGTTTTAAAAACTTCCTACTATTTCAGACACTCGCACTTCAGCACAACACTGGGTAAGTGTTTGATGAGGGAGTGACATTATAACATTATATAAAGCTTAAAACAGCTGCTTTAATGTCATAGATGTACATTAATATTTTACAGACATTACAGTTATTTTAAATCTTATAAGAATTTGAAAACAGTAACAATAATCGACACAGACACTCACTGGGAAACGTGGAGCGTCACAACTTTACAGTCAGCTCCAGCTGGTCTCCTTCACTTTAAATGTATTGAACCTCAGCAGCTGAAATATCTCAAACTGCTTTATATGTTTGAGCTGTGCTGGAAGGCATCAGTTTCAGCAAGCTTAGAACTAAAATAGCTTCCATTAAATGTTTCATTTGGACTTCCTGATTAGGTGAGCAGGGGCCAAATAATCATGCAAAGGACAAAAACAGTGGTTTTACACAAAGCATTTGATTTGTAAAACAAAAGTAAGTAGCATCTACGTGTGTTAACTCTTGCTGGTTGAGCTGTTTCAATCCCCTGCAGTGGTTAACTGGGACCCAGAGGCAGGGTCGTCCACACCCCTCCTCCTGGCTAATTAGACTCTCACTTCAGAGATGTGCTTCATGCTGGTTGGTGACCCAGATTAAACATCAAGTGAACGCAGTAAAAAAGGAACTCCTGCTRCAGTTTCTTTTTCTAACKACCAAAAAAGATATGCAGCCTCTAGGGGTAACCCCCCCCCCCCCCAAAAAAAAAAAAAAAGTAGAAGTGAGTATTACAGAGCAAGACTGCAGCTCCAGAGAGAAAGCTGTAAATGTATGTGAACCTAAAAAGTTWGTTAAAAATGTATGAATTTAATTCTGATCAGATACATTTCTGTTTTTATAACAAGCTAACAATGATGTATTTTCACTTGGAGATCTATAAATCATCAAAACAACATAAAAGAAAAAAGAAGGTATTTAGACTTAATTAGTCTGCTTTGTTTTACATTATGTTGCATTAAAAATGTATAAAATACATTATTTTAATCTTTTTAATATGGTAAATCTTTTGCAAAACCAATGGACAATTCACTGGGAAATGACTCTATCCTTTAAATAATTATAGAGCCACAAACAATCAATATTGAGTGGAAAGACATTTATGCATGTGTATGTTTGAGCTGTGTCAGCAAAATAACTCATGAACCACAGGATAGATTTTGGATGGGACTCAAATATTCTTTGAGCTAAATCTTAGTTTGCTGGCAGCTGAGAGTCATTGCCGACCCGTTCTCTAAGCACAAATGGATTGTAAAACCTCTGTTTCAAATCKTTCCCTTTAACTATTACAGTAAACTGACTGTCTGTTAGCAAAATATCTCACAAACCACTGGTTTCACTAAACTGAGTTTACCGGTTGACAGAACTCGGTTTGGTAAATTCAACACTTCATTTTTTTAGAGTGCATAAACAGCTCCTTTCATGATGGGTTCTGGTCATTTTAAAACWTGTAGCGTGTAAAGTAAAGATATATCATTTTTATGTTTAAAATACAACAAAATAAAAGTAAAAGTTATGATTTAAAGAAAAATMCTCAAATCCTCAAATAATTACTTAAGTACTGTAATGAAGTAAAAGTTTTTCGTTACTACACACCTCTGATTTACAACATATTATAAAGTCAACCCAATTGAAGATCCACAGCTAATCAATCTTAGTCAACACAAACATGGCTTTTAATTCAGTTAATTTCACAGATATTTTGCTAAAAATTTAAYGTGAGCTTCCTCCCCAACACATAATCAGAGTGCTTTTGTCCCATTGTGGGAATTTTTTGGGGTTAACTTTCTTATTTTCTTGTTCTTCATGTTTAGTTTTTTGCTAAAGGGCCAATATTATGTGTTTCTCAGGCATATATTTGAATACTATACCATAATAAAGTATCTGTCACCTTTAGT